CCCAAAACAAAATGGTCGTAAATTTTCATGGACGTCCGCTAAGACATTAGAAATGGAACTAGTTCGTCATACGAGAAAAAATAATGAATTTTCAAGTTCAAACGTAATCCCAAAGTAAGCAAAGATAAATTTTATTGATTTTCATGTGCTATAGCCCCTTGATTTTTTTTTAAACCAGAATTCTGAAATAAAATGACTGAATTTTTTTCATGGACGTCCGTTAAGACATTAGAAATGGAACAGTTTGTCTTTTGATGAAAAATGGTGCATTTTTGAGTTCAAACATGTCTCAAAGCATGCAAAGGCAAATTTTAACTATTTTCGTGTGCGATGAATTTTTTTTATCCAAAAATTCTGACACAAAATGGACAATACTATTCATGTACGTTCGTTAAGACCTTAGAAATAGAAACAGTTCATCATGCGAGGAAAATGATGTATTTTCAAGTTCAAACGATTTCCAAAGCACGCATAGGCATATTTTACCGATTTTTGTGTGCTATAGCCCATGGATTTTTTTTATCCAGAATTCCCAAAACAAAATGGCCAAAAATTTTCATGGTTGTCCATTAAGACCTTAGAAATGGAAATTGTTTATCCCGCGAAAAAAAGTTGTGCATTTTCAAGTTCAAACGAGTCTCAAAGCAGCAAAGGCAAATTACTAATTTCGTGTGCTATAGCCTGTGGATTTTTTTTTATCCAAGAATTCTAAAACAAGAAAAAAATTCATGGACGTCCATTAAGACCTTAGAAATGGAACTAGTTCATCCCGCAGAATTTTTTTTATATATTTTCAAGTTCAAACGAGCCTCAAAGCAGACAAAGGCAGATTTTACTGATTTTCGTGTGCAATAGCCCATGAATTTGTTTTGATCTAAAAAATTCCTAAAGAAAATAGCCGAAATTTTTCATGGACGTCCATTAAGACCTTAGAAATGGACTAGTTTGTCTCGTTGAGAAAAATAGTGCATTTTCAAGTTCAAAAGAGCTCCAAAGCAGGCAAAGGAGGATTTTATCGATTTTCGTATGCTATATAGCCCATGTATTTTTTTGATCTGGAAATCTCATAACATAATTGCCAAAGTTTTTCATGGACGTCCCTTAAGACATCAGAAATTGAACTAGTTCGTCCCTTAAGGGAAAAATGATGCATTTCCAAGTTCAAACCCAAAGCAGGCAAAAGCTGATTTTATCAATTTTCGTGTGCTATAATCCATGAATTTTTTTTTATTTGGAAATCCCAAAATAACATGGTCAAAAAATTTCATGGATGCCCGTAGAAATGGAACCAATTCGCTTGAGGGGAAAATGATGCGTTTTAAAGTTCAAACGAGCTCCAAAACAGGCAAAGAAATATTTTACGACTTATGTGTACTATAACCCATGGATTTTTATATCTGGAAATCATGAAACAAAATGACCAAAAAATTTTATGGACGTTTGTTAAGACATTAGAAATTGAGTCAAATCGTTCCATAGGGAAAAATGGTGCATTTACAAGTGAAAATGAGTCCAAAGTAGGCAAAAACAGATTTTACCGAGTTATGGAGCCTGTAATCCCTGACGGCCAAAACACCCCATTTTGAAGGTCAAACGAGCCACTAAGAAGGTAAATCGCAATTTTGCCTAATTTCATGTGTTATAGTCCATGAATTTTTGGTGATCCAGCATACCAAAGTGTTTTTTGCTCAAATTTTTCGTGGACGTCTGTTAAGACGTTAGCTATGTGTTATAGTCTACAATCCTTTATGGTGATCCAAAATTCCAATTTTATTTGTCCAAATTTTTTTGGACATCCATTGAGACGTTATCTATGGATCAAATTGGCTCCGATGGCCAAAATGAACCATTAAGAAGGTCAAACAGGCCCCGAAGCAAGTAAACCCTCATTTTGGCCATTTTTTATATGCTATAGTCCATGGATATTCGATGATCCAGAATTTCGACGTCTATTTTGCCAAGATTGTTTGTGGACTTTCATTAAGATGTTATATATGGGGCCAAAAAAATGACCCATTTTGAAGGTCAAACGAGCTCAAAAGCAGGTAAACCCTCATTTTGCCAATTTTCGTAATTTATAGTCTACAATTTTTTTTAGTGATATGAAATTTCAACATCTTTTTTGTCCAAATTTTTTGTGGACATTCGTTGAGACGTTAGCTATGGAGCTAGTTGGCCCTTACGGCCAAAACGATCAATTTTCAAGGTCAAACAAGCCCCTGAGATAGTAAAAAAAACCCTTCATTTTACCAATTTTCGTGTGCTATAGTCCATGGATTTTTGGTGATCCCGAATTCAGACGAGCCCAGAGCAGGTAACCCCTCATTTTTTTGATTTTCATGTTCATATTCCACGATATTTTTGATGATCCAGAATTCCTTTTTTTTTTTGCTTAAAGTTTTTGTGGATGTCCGTTAATACGTTAGAAATGAAGCTAGTTGACCCTGGCGGTCAAAACGATCCATTTTATAGGTCAACGAGCAACTAAGCAGGTAAATAGCCCATTTTGCTGATTTTCGTGGGGCATAGTCCATGGATTTTTGGTGATTCAAAATTTTGACATCTTTTTTTGCTAAATTTTTTTATGGACATCTGATAAGTCCAATTGGTTGTGACGTCCAAAATGTCCAATTTTCAATGTCAAACGAGCCCTGAAGCATGTAAACCCCATTTTGCCGACTTTCGTGTACTATAATCCATGGATTTTTGGTGATTCGAAATTCCAATGTATTTTTTGCCTAATTTTTTGGTGAACGTCCGTTAAGACGTTAACTATAGAGTCAGTTGGTCCTGACGATCAAAACGGCCCATTTTGAAGGTCAAACGAGCCCTAGAGTAGGTAAACCCCTCATTTTGTTGATGTTCGTATGCTATAGTGCACGATCTTTTTTGGTGATCCAGAATTCTGATGTCTTTTTTGCCCAATTTTTTCGATGACATCCGTTATAACGTAAGCTATGTATCTAGTTGAACTTGACAGCCAAAATAACCATTCTCAAGGTCAAACGAGCCCTTGAGCAGGTAAACTCCCATTGATTTTTGTGTGCTATAGTCCATGGATTTTTGGTGATCTAGAATTCTGGCGTCTTTTTTGTCTAATTTTTTTTGGATGTCTTTTAAGACATTATGTATGGATTTATTTGGCCCTACCAACCAAAAAGGTCCATTAAGAAGGTCTAACAAGGCTCAAAGCAGGTGAACCCCTTATTTTCTATTTTTGTGTGCTATAATCCATCAATTTTTTGTGATTCAAAATTTCGACGTCGATTTTGCCCAATTTTTTTATGGAAATTCATTAAGACGTTATCTATGGAGCCAGTTGGTCCTGACGCCAAAAAAGTCCATTTTGAAGGTTATACGAGCTCCAGAGCTGGTAAACACCTCATTTTACCGATTTTCATGTGTTATAGTCCACGATCTTTTTTGGTGATCAGGAATTTCGACACTATTTTGGCCGAATATTTATATTGACGTCCATTAAGTCGTTTTCTATGGAGTCAGTTTGATTGACAGACAAAACATCTCATTTTGAAGGTCAAACGAGCCCCTGAGCAGGTAAACCGTCCATTTTGCTGATTATTGTGGCTATAGTCCATCGATTTTTAGTGATTCAGAATTCCGATGTCTTTTTTTCTTAAATTTTTTATGGACGTCCGTTAACACGTTAGTTATGGAGCTAGTTGGCCTTGACGACCAAAATGATCCATTTTCAAGGTCAACAAGCCCCGAATCAGGTAAATTTTGATGCTTTTTGTGTTATATAATCAATGGATTTTGGTGATTCGAAATTCTGACGTCTTTTTTGTCCAAATATTTTATGGACGTCCATTAAGAAGTTACATATGGAGCCAGTCTGTCCTGACGGTCAAAACGATCTGATTTGAAGGTCAATCGAGCTCCGGAGCAGGTAAAACCCTTCTTTTGCCGATTTTTGTGTGTAGTCCACAATCTTTTGGTGATCCGGAATTTCGATTTATTTTTTACCCAATTTTTTTTGTTAGACGTCTGTTTAGATGTTAGATATGGAGTCAATTGGCCTTGATAACCAAAACGATCCATTTTCAAGGTCAAACGAGCCCCTGGGCAGGTGAAACCCCCTTTTTTTTTTATCAATTTTCGTGTGCTATAGTCCGTGAATTTTCGGTGATCCAGAATTTTGATATATCTTTTTGCTCAATTTTTTTGTTGACATACGTTAAGACGTTATCTAAAGAGCCAATTGGCCCTGACGGCAAAAAATGACCCATTAGGAAGGTCAAACAAGCCTCGAGGCATGTAATTCCTCATTTTGCCGATTTTTGTGTACTATAGTCCATGGATATTTAGTGATTCAGAATTTCGACGTCTCTTTTGCCCAAATTTTTTGTGGACGTCTGTTAATACGTCTTCTATGGAGTCAGTTGGTCATGTCGGCCAAAACAACCCATTTTGAAGGTCAAACGAGCACCAGAGCAGGTTAACCCCTTATTTTGCCGATTTTCATGTGCATAGTCTACGATCTTTTTTGGTGATCCGAAATGCCGACTTCTTTTTTGCCCAAATTTTTATAAATTCATAATTTCAATTTTTTTTACTTAAATTTTTTTATTGACGTCCATTAAGACCTTAGCGATGGAGTTAGATGGTCCCCATGGGTAAATAGACCATTTTCAAGGTCAAACGAGTTCTAAGGCAGGTAAAACCCCATTTTTTGGTGGTCTGGAATTCTAATTTTTTTCCTAAAACTTTTCATGTACGTATGTTAAGACCTTAGCAATGGAGTCACTTGGTCCCCATGGGCAAACAGACTCCTTTTCTAGGTCAAACAAACCCTAGAGCATGTAAATTTTCATTTTGTCAATTTTCATGTGCTATAATTCATGGATTTTTGGTGATCCAAATTCTGAAAAAAAATTCAAAATTTTTCATTGACGTTTGTTAAGATCTTAGTAATGATCCAATCTGGTCCGCAGAGGCAAACAAGCCAATTTTAAATTTTCTGGCCATTTAGAACAGACATATCAACACGAAAACAAGATGCATTTTCTTATTCAAATAAATGTAACGAAGAACTTGATATGGATATACAACTAGTTGTATCAGTTTAAAAATTATAACTGAGACCACTAGACTGATCTCATCCACTTCAAAATTTCCACAAACACATGAACTTTATTCAAACACAAGAAGTGTCATTGCTTTGCATTTTCCCTTTGGTTTGCTTAGTATAAGCTACCTTTGTGTTTCTCAATTTTCATCTTTAGTCCATCTTTATCTGCTCCCACAATCTGGTCAACAACCTCCCCTTTCTTCATCAACACGAACGTTGGCATAGCTTGAACCCCGTATTTTTCAGCTACATCCTGTTTTCAATCGTCCAAGATTCGAGTAAAATTACTATCATGGAAAAGGATTTAAGATATACACACTAACGTTATTAACTTCTATTATTTTTACCAAATTGTAACGTTTATTATATAGGTTCTCCTATAATTATCTTATAAGTGATCCTGATTGTGTAAACACGTCAATTTATAGAACTTAAACTCGAAAAAAGAAAAGGATTGTGAAGTTTAAGAAGTCATACAACTAGTTCATCAACATCAATCTTGACAAACTCAACATTTGTATATTTGGCAGCAAAGTCATTGATAATTGGGTCCATGTTTCTGCAAGGACCACACCATGTAGCTGTGAAGTCAATAACAACCTACTAGAAACAAGGCAAATGATTAGTACCATATGATAATTTACCATTTGTTTGTATCTTTTAAAGATTCAAAGTGGTTACTAGTTTCGTCACTTTTATCTAAATACGTAACTATTTATCTACATAATTAATTTCAACACTTAAAATAATTGTCAGCACTTAAGCTTATCAACTATTTACAGTCAACTAATCAAAACGGGCTCTACAACATGTTACAATAAAGTAAAATGATGATTACCAATTTGTTTGTATCTTTCAAAAAATTTAAATGGATCATGCATTTTGTTGAAGAGTTGAAAGTAATGACTTGACACCTCTTGATTTGTTGTGTGATTGGCTTCTTGTTAAATTCAGGCCATGTTGGGTAGTTGTAACCACTCATTTTTCTTCTTTTTTTTTTTTTTAAAAAAAAAACCCCTCTTATTTAACTCCTAGGTTTTAAGAGGTTTTTTTTTTTATTTGATATGTTGGAGCTTAGAGTTATGCAAAAACCTTATTTATAGAGGTTGTTGATGTTCAATTTTTTCTTTTCTTTAGTATGTAAAATAACTTATAAATGAGTATAGAATATGTTCTTCATTATGTCGACCATTTCATTTTTATTTATATAAAAAAAAAATTGATGCTAAATTGATTTTTTTTTGTTTAATTGGTAATGGTCCTTTGGTCCAATATTTCCAATATAATGTCATTATCACTTTATTCTAATGTGTTTTAAATTCTATACGCGGACAATATATCTATCGAGGTCAATTAAAAAATAATTGCAGGAAAATGACGAAATTAATACTTCATTCATGTTAATTTCTTTGACGGATTTTGACTTAGTACGAAGTATAAAAAGTCGTAGTTTTAAATTACTAAAGAAAACGTAGAATGCATCAAAATATTCTTTAATCTTGTGTTCTTAAACATTTCACATGGAATTTGAACAAATGATTGTTAAAAAAGAAAAAGAAAAAAAATATTTATTAAGCAGACTAATTAAAAATAAAGTTAAACAAACAAATTGAAATAGAAAAAGTATAACTTACTAATTTAATGAAGTAAAAAGTACATGTTAATTAATCATTGATAAAGTAAAAATATAATCTATTTAAGTGTGGGCGAAGCTAGTAAGGACTCTGGGAGGTTATCCCTACCTCGTTCTGTAAAGAACTATATTATTTATACATAATTTAAATTATTTATATATATATATATATATATATATATATATATATATATTAGATGTTACCCGTTTAACTATTAGTATGTCTATATTTTCCTATTTTAAATCTTGTTCTCTCAATAAAAATAATGGCTCCGTCACCGTGTAAACAAGAAGTCTTTACTTTTTACCCTAATGTCAACCTGGAAAAAAAAGTTGTTTATTAGTACATACAGCTACTTTATTAGTTATATTCTTCATCTAGTAATTTTATATCTGAAAATAATAGGAACCAATACTTAAAAAAGAACATTATAACTATTAACAATTGTAGTATATGATTTAAGAATATTATTATTGGTGACAGAAACAATGTTCTCTAAAGTATTGGTTCATATTATTTTGAAAATAGGAATATGATTACAAGGTGAAAAATAGCATAAAGTTTCAATTTAATTAGGGGAAAGGCTGGATAGCATTTCATTCAAGAAAATGATAGATTCTATTCTTATTTATAATTTTATATCATGCGAAATTATGGCCTTAAAAGAAAGTGAATTCATTGAATCTGAAACCTAAATTACCAATTAATATAAATTGAGATTTCAATTATTGACATTCGTCACGGATCCAGGATTAAAACTTAACGAGTTTAACCTTCTTGAATTGGAAATATAAAATATATTGAGCTCAGTTAATAACTTTTCTTCAAAAAATATTTAATTGTATTAAGAAAAATCACTTTTATCGGTAGAAATAATCTATTATGACCTAGTAATTGTTATGCATATCCTAAAATTTGAAATCCAGAAAGTTAAAATTATGAATCTGTCTCTTAACACGAATTAAAAATTATTGAAAACTTAAAATAAATAAAAGAATATATCTTTAACGGTTTAAACTTCCAGATAAAACGAATCGATAGAATTCAATATATATATATATATAAAGTTGTCTTGTTAGAATATGTAATTGTACTTGTGCACAAACACAAAAGCATCTAGAAGACATTTTCACTAGAGAATTTTTCAATGAAAATGGTGTGCAATTCAATTACAACTTCATTGATGAAGAGAATATTTCCAAATGAAATTATAAAGTGAAGTTTGCTACTTTCTTAGCATCTGTCCATTGTGGTCCTTTAGGTATAACAAAAATATTTTACATGAAAAATATTTTTTTAATAATGAAAAACATTATGTAAATCATTTATTTGATTAGTATTTAATTAATTGAACCCAAAGTTGATGGAATGTGGTTCCTCTTTTTCTTATATGTGAGTTGTGAGTGCTAAGAATAATTTTGTAAGGTTCATATTGTAAGGATTTAAATAATTTTGGTATAAAAATGATAATTTAGATAACAAAAAAGAAATGTATCATAAATGACACAATAATGTCTTAATATAGTTTGATCAATCAATTTAGAGAAGATGAATATTTTACTATATGTAAAAGAGAGTTCAAAAGATCGAAATAAATAATCGCATAAAACTCACTCAAAATATTCAAATATGCTTTTATAAATCATGATTAAAGGAATACTGAGAGATTTTATTTATAATTTATATCCAATTATATCTAAATCAAATTAAATGTAAGTTTTCAAATTCATTCTTATAGATGATTGGAAGAATGTAATGAAAAGTTTTACTCATCTCCTCTAGAACAATATTATATTCCTAATTATTTTTTAAAATCACATTATAGTTGTTTTTTTATTTTCTCTAGAATTGCTTTTAACATTCTAGAAAAAGAGATCAATCTTTTTTTAAAAAAAAAAAGTTGTGATGATTTACTTTGAACCTATTATATAGTAAATTCATTTTCTTTATTAAAAGGGAACCTAAAGTTGCATTAAGTAACATATGATCTCATTTTAATTCCTTTTGACATCTTGTGGACTTTAAAATAAGTCAACTCGTAAATGAGCGAGAAGATCTTGATCGAAAATTCCATTATTCTGAATAGTAAAAGAAAATGAAAATCAATTAAATCGTGTGCTAATGAGTACATGTATTACTTGCATTTATTTATCCTATCACATTTTAAATGGAAAAGTTGCATTTCTCATTTTTGTTTGTACAACAATATTGTATAAAAAAGGTCCAACAACTTCTATATTTATGAGGTTTGAGGGGCTGGGAAGGAATGAGGAATCATAATTTTTTCTCGTTTCAATTTATTTGTCTTAATTTTCTTTATTAATCGATTTAAAAAAGTGTTTTTTTGGGGGGGGGGTAATTCGTTAATCTCAAATTTTCATGTAGCATCTTTAAGATCACAAAATATATTAAAGAATATTTTGATAGATTTGACATATCTTTAGTTTTAGACTATAGTATTTAAAAGTGTTTTTTGCTTTCTTAAATTACATGTCTAAATAAAACCAAACAAACGAATTGAAGCAGATGAAGTATGAGTAATGCATTTAGACGAATTCAGTAATTTTGACTCAGACTTTGTTTTTGTGTTAAAAATATGCTAAATATGTAACAATATTAAATTTTGAACCCAATAATGCAAATGATTAGTAAGGTTAGTGGTACGTTGAACTAGGGTTGCATATCAGCAGTTCAGTCCCATTTTGATATTTATCGATTTAACTTAATGATTATCAATTTGTAGATCATATGTTAAGCTACTACAGAATCATTAAGATATTAGCTTATCTTTTATTGATTTATCGGTGGTTATTGATTGTTATCAGTTCGATTATTGATTTAAACGGTAAGATTTGACACATAAAAAAATCACTTTACAGAAATGTGACAAACCAAATGAACCATACATATGATCAGCTGACAGATTGCAAAGTGCTCAAAAGCAAACACTAACATATTGTAAAATAACCCAATAATCAAAAATAATAAGAAACTAAACCCTAATTATGTTGATATACCGAATGGTATAAATATAATTTATTAATTTACTATCGAGTATCAGTTAACCATTAAGAAAAAACCTCTAACAACCAATAACTCGATAATAAAAAAGTTAAAACGATTATCAAAATCGCTAAATCAATAATCCATTATCATTATAAATCAATAACTTATTGTTGATTCGAGTTATCAGTTTGATTCGATTTTGAACCGCCTGAGCTCATAAAGTTCAAATTCTAAATTCACGGTATGACTATAGGATGTTGGATTTGGAAAAAGACATTATAAGAACACAAAACTCAGAATAAATACACTTGCTCAAACCAAGCAAATGTGTAACATTAGTGCTTTAGTCAGCTTCTTGAATGTGAAGTTTACAATAATGTGCTGTGTTCTCTCAATCAAAATGTGATAAAAGATATGAAGTCTTATTCTACATGGAAAGTGTCATTCCATCAAACTCTGCTTAAATTTGTTGCACACTTAGGTTTAATTTTCTTACATGAACATAGCTTTATGTTTCTCAATTTTCATCTTTAGTCCATCTTTATCTGCTCCCACAATCTTGTCAACAACCTTCCCTTTCCTTATCAACACGAACGTTGGCATCGATTGAACCCCATATTCCTGAGCTACATCCTATATACAATTCAACGAAAATTATTTGAGACGTTAGATGAGTATGATATTTGATTTCTAATATGGTTGATCACTCAACTAATAGTTATCATCTCAGAAAGTCACATCCTGTATACAATTCAATGAAGATTTGAGACGTTAGACAAGTATGATATTGATTTCTAATATGATCGATCACTCTACTAATAGTTATTATCTCAGAAAGTACGACAAAAAAAGTGATTTTCTGAGATAATAACACTTAATTGAGTGATAATATGAGAAATCAACTCGAGGAGTATATAGAAAATATAGAAGGGATGTGATGGTAAGAAATTTCATACATCCAATTCATCAACATCAATCTTGACAAACTCAACATCTGTATATTTAGTAGCAAAATCATTGAGAACTGGTTCCATATATTTGCAAGGACCACACCATGTAGCTGTGAAGTCAATAACAACCTAGTAACACCATAGAAAAAATATCCAATGATTAGAGTACCCTCTAATATATAATGAGTATAACTTTTATATACTAGTTTAAAATATTTGTTTACATTATAAGATAATTACATATTTAGATGTAAAATAAGACAAGTTACTTGCTACAACAGGTAAAGGTGGTAAAACATTCTTATATTGACGATATAGATAACTTAAACACTAAGTTAAAAACCATAGACAATATCATTAGAGAATTAGTTGTTGTGCAAAATGGTTACCAATTTGTTTGTATCTTTTAAAGAATCAAAATGGAGCTTCCATTTTGTTGAAGAGTGGAAAGCAATGACTTGAGATCTCTTGAATTGTGGTGTGGT